ATGCCATATCTCTTGTAGAATTAACAATAGTTCTGTTCATATTACCTTTACAAAGTTAGACAGGAAAATTATATAGTATTGGTGAATTTATGAATGATTAACTTTTTCTGAAAAAAAAAGATGTAGCAGTAAATTTAAAGGGCTTAAAATCATTTGTTCTATTTAAGTAGCAAATTTATCTAAGAATTTAATAAAATGAGGTTTCAACATAGAATAAAAGGTTTATGCACACACATTTATGTGTGAAATAAAATACGTTAGCATGAAAAAATAATCATTAAGAATTCCTAGAAATAGGTATAATTATATGAGAGAAAGATGAATAGCACAATTAAGAGGAAAACCAAGATCGAATATCTTGTACTTTCATACCAAACCCAAACCAAACCTGTTCCATTCAGTCGGTTCTGACTTAGAGCAACCTTACAGTATAATTTTGATGAACTGGCAGACTCTGCGTGTGTGTACTTGTGTGTTTGCATATACTTCAATTTTCATCTGGTTGTGTATACGGATACTATTCTTTCCTCTTCACATTGTTGGTAATAAAGTAATGTGACTTTCTTTGACCAAATCTTAGCTTCAAAATGCCACTTCTTACATCATCACACTTTTGATTGGAGAAGTCAGACACTAAGAGAAAACAAGTAGACTAACAAACAAACACCTGGCATCACTTATAAAGACAAGAGTTGTTACAGTAAAATATCATCAAGTTTCACCAGCTGTTAGGGGAAGTAGTCCTTGTGGTGTCAAGGATTATACATTGGGCTTCTGAACACAAGGACCACAGTTCAAACCCATTAGACCAATGTATTATGGAGTAACTTAAACAAATGGGGTGTGTTCTAATAATGATGATGGCAACCCTCAGACATCCACAGGGCTGTTCTATACTCTTCTCTGGTCATTCTGAGTTGGAATCAACTTGATGGCAAGACATTTATATGTCAGGTAAATGCAAATATCTATTTCTAAATTTGATAAAAACCCACGACATATTTTATGCTATTAACCCAAGCACAAATTCCAGAAATAAAAATGAACCTATTTATTATTCCAATTTCCAATATGCTGCAGTCTGTTCTTCTGGTCTACTTTGAAATTTCTTCAAATATTAATACCCTACTTTTTAATAATTCAATGGACACTGGTTTGGAAGGAGAAAGTCAATTGTGAGTTTGTTCACTTTTGATAATATAGAAACATCTCAGAACATATTATGTGTACGAAGCTATACCATAAATTATAACAATAGTTTACTTCAAGAAATTGTATAAGAAAAAGATTGCAGGAGGCAGCACTCTTTGTCAGGCAATTGTTACCAGGCATGATACTTCCCTGGGACATACATGCTGGGCACAGGTGCCTCATTCTATTAAAACTCAAAGAGCCCACATGATGGCATAACATTGGCTGAATGCAGCTGATGGATTCTAGCTCCATTCAAGAGAAGTGTCCCGCAAATATATAGAGTTACACCTTTTTCTCGAGACTAAGAAGGCATTAAGTATTAGAAACTTGATATAGAAAATCTATGTGTGAACAAATATCCACTGATGCTTCAGGATCCAAAAGCTAGATTCCAAATGCACCTTCAAGCAGTTTCTGAAATATGCTAACAAGACTCAAAGTCAGTACATGCAGATGCATGGATAAATGTCTATTGTGTTTACTTAACATTTTATTCCTTGGCTGAGATTGATGTCATACTTGTGCATTTGTCAGAATAATTAAGTTTTTAAAAATACTATATCTTTAAAAATCATATTTCCTCTTACAACAAAATGCAAAAAATAATGAGTAAGGTCTATTAACTAAAATTCTGCAAAGGAGATTACTACATACATACAGAGGAGTGGACATGCAACAGAGAAACTAATTAGATAGCCGCCTGGCACCATTTAAGAGGAAGAAATGCCTCCTCCACCTCTTACTAGTCTGTACGGGCAGCACTCTCCAGTGCCTGGGACTAAGCAATCATTGTGAAAAGGCTCTTAGTTAAGAAATGCTAAATTATGTTCTTTCTGCAAGTTCTGTTTAAGAAGTTGAGAAAAATGAATTATACATCAAATAAAAATACTTAATGTATTTATAAAATTTGATAATTATAAAACTAAGAAGATAAGAAAATGCATTTATATTCAATGTTTTATTCCCCTGAGATTGTGGTTAACTATACAGAAGATTATTATATAATTTATTTTATACTTTAATAAAAATAATGTTATCGCTTTCCCTCTATTCTATGCCACTTCTATAATTTCCCTGAAAAGTTCAAGAAACAAAGAAATGAAATGATTTAACATAGCTTATCAAACTGGGCAAATTGTGGAAGATGAATTTTTTTTTAAGGAGCTGCTTTGTGGATTAGCCAACATCGTGGGGCGAAAATAATAAGATGACAACCGACTCAAAGTGTCACTGATACCTGGAGGTAACTTTGGGATTAGGGCCCAGCCTGCCAAGATCCATGTCCTATACTTACTGTGTGACGCCTGCCTTCTGCCGGGAACACATGATTGCCCGGCGAATGTGGCTTCTCTCGTGGATTTTGATAGTTTCTGCTTTATTCATCTGTCACTCATTGCTTCAGTGCTGATTACCCAGCTTCTCTGTCTTCTGCTTAAATTGATTCCATAAACAGAAGAGACAGGGCTTTTTTTTTTTCTTTCAAGGGAAGTCATTAGAAGAGTTTATAAATGTTTTTTTAGAGAAATAAGCTGTATTTTTTAAAAGGCAAACTTTTCTCCAGATTATTTTATAACCAATTGTTAAACACACATTTCTAAAATATCATCACCAGGAGGCACCTGCCATTCTCACTGAGATGTAGACTGTCGCTCCTCTCCCACGTAGTTCTCTGTGGACTCTTTCTTGATGGTACTTGTCAGGCAGGGGACTGTTTTGCTGGGCGGGTGACGAGCTTCCGCAGCCTCCACAGAGCCTTACACAGCCAGGCCACTGCCATCAGATGGACTGTCGATGGACTTGGTTGCTTTAAAAAGCATTTGTGCCCAGTAAAGCCTGGAGGTGGTCACTCCACAGGCTCTAAATCTTCAGAGGATATATTTTAAGGCAAATCCTTTAAACCCACCATAGAATGAACTCTTTTCAGAATGATTGGGGAGAATAACATTGACTATCAGAAAGATCACCTTTTATAATAAACTAATGGAATAAGGTTTGCTCCTAACAAGAATAATGCATTAACTTTGTTTAGGATAACGTTTTTATTAAAAAATATAAAGTATTATATGTATTATTTCACTAAAACGGAATACACCATAATAATTTGTTCTCTATAAACTTATTTCTTTGTATGTCAACATATAAGTTTCTTCATTACATGACTTCATTATTAACAGCTTTATTTAATTATAAATCACTTTCCATACAAACCTCCAACATAAAGTATACATCACAATGCTTTTAAATATATTTACAGATCTGTGCAATCACCACCCTACCCAATTTAGAACGTTTTGATCACATCAAGTATCAACCCAACAATACTGCGCTCAGGCCCCAAGTTTATTCCTTAGTGTACTTTAAAATATAAATGTCTAGTGTACATTTAATTTTAAAATAGAGGAAATATCTAAACTAAAATGAACTATTCTTATACCAAGATCTAATGCATTTTGGGGTTTTTTTAGGTGTGAAATGAAAACTTTTAGCATGAGCCCTTTCGATTTCTCAGTGGTGATACAACTTTTCATATAGCTTCTTTTTTTCCCACTGTGCAAATGGTTCAGTGCCTGAAGCCCACGGGGTAAAGCCAGGCAATGGTTCGGGATTCCAGTTTGCTTTGGCATGGGACACTGCGAGAGGCCTATGGGATCGGACCTGCCATCAAGCCAAACCCAGGCACTGTCATATAACTTTCGTAGGAAATGTTGATTCAATCATAATCTACTTGATGGATGACAGACAACTGGAAACTGAAGTAAAATTATCCTTCCAGTTTGCAAATTAGATTATAATATAAATTTTAAGGTTTCACCAGCATTATTATTTTCACTAATAAAATATAACAAGATACTTATTGTCTTCATGTCCCCATTCCACCTACTTTGAAATATCTAGCTTACATACAGATTTATTACTATTATCTTTATATTGACAGTTTGTATGTTCCCAAAAGGAGAGAAGTTAGCTTATTTAAAAATCACTTTTACATTGTTGGAGTTACAAAAGTAGCTACTGTTTTCATCATAGAATTATTATACTTGGCTCATTAGCAGGTGAGTAGAAAAGAATTTGACTCTTTATGGATCCCACTGACATTTGGGTTAATTGTTGAGTTGCTAACCCAAGGAAAGGGGATCAAACTTACCAGGCAAGCCATGAAAAAGCAAAACGAGTCAACATTGTTCCATAAAGATTTGCAGTCTTGGTCACTTTATGGAATATTTACATGATGTCCTATATGACTGCTATGAGTTAAAATCAACTTAAAGGTAGCGGGTTTAGAATTCATAGTCTTTTATTCCTTGTAAACTATATGTATTTTGTGTCTAAAAAGTAATTATTTAGAGTTAAGAGATGAAGAAAAAGAAACCATTCTGGTTTCATTGTCAATGGAAAGAATTAGAACATTGAGTCTATTGGCACGAATGATGTGCATGTGGAAAATGCAGGGATTGATGTCATTCATCCTCACATTCATCCTCACAAAGAACCTTTTAAGGTCGATCTTAAAGTGCCATGCTGTCTGTGATATAATAACATCTACTTGCTTCTTAGGAAATACAACTAACATAACTATTATTCAAATTTAAGCATCAAACACTAAAACCAGTAAGAGGAAAAGGAGTTTTATCTAGTTATTCAGGCTAACATGGATCAAACATGCAATCAATTGCATTGAAAATGATTGGTGACTAGAACACAGAAGTTGAAATCAAAGAGGAAAGAATAATGCTTAGAAAAAATGTGGCCTTGGGGATAGAAAAGCTCCGGGGTGTAATGGTTACGCTCTGGGCTGCTAACCATGAGGTCAGCAGTACAAATCCCCCCGCTATTTCCAAAGAAGAAAGATGAGGCTTTCTGTTCCCATAAACAGTTACAGTCTCAGAAACTTTCTCCCACGGAGGAAGCAGTGGTTTCAAACCACTGACCTTGCAGTTACCAGCCCAATGTGTAACTACTACACCATCGGGGCTCCTCTTAATATTTTCCTCTAAGTTCTAACAGAGAAGTCAAACTCTAATAGGAACTCAATTCAGGGAAAAGTCCTCTAAAGTTACTTTTTTTTAATCTGGGAGATATTTAAATGAGATTAATTTAAATAAAAGATGAAAGACTAGTAGATCTTAAAATTAAGGCAGAAAATGAATTCTGCAATAGAAACATGACAGGACTAATGATGTTTCACTGTAACTCATTTATTGTCTAATATTTGATTACATTTAACTTGGAACTAAAGTTACAGTCAAAAAGCAAAACAAGAAAAACATGAAAACAGGCATGTGATCACAAGGCTAAACAAGCTTTCAAGGTATGCTTGTCACCTTAGGAGAAACCATGGACTTCTAAGGGGCAGCTGCTTGTTTCTTATTTATTCCGTTTTTCAGTCAAGGATTAAATGCAGATATTAACAAATATAAACTTAAAGTACCATGTTCAGCACAATGCAGTCTTCTATCAACATACAATGTATGTATGCTGTCAGCCCCACAGCAGTCATCAAATGCCAGACTTAAGTTTTAGTATCTGGAGCATGAGCACATATGTATTGAAGTATTTTTTTTTTGTTAACATCTCCCATCTATTTATTTTGAAAGCAAAGCATTATTTTGCAGCATAAGCACTTTTATAATTTCTACTCAGGGAAAAGAGAGAAAGAGCACATTTACATAGTACAAGAGGCATGTATGTCTGTAAGCAGGTCACATAGAGAGTTATATATTGCTGCAATATTTGGTCTACAGGGCATTTTGGAGAAGTTTAAGTATATGCACAATGCTAATGAATAAAGAAAGAAGTGAAATACAAATGATGGTATACACGGAAGATTAAATTAATCAGTTCACATCAAGATTTCAAGCAGAGCTGGGATCACCATCTGTCAGGTTCTGTAGCCAGAATTTCTTACCTATGTCATTAGTGCAAAGAAGGCCCCTCCATGTCTCCCTGTTCTATCCCTTCTCATTTTGACTCCTACGGTGTCATGCCTCCCACCTAAGGGTAACTCGGAGAGCAGATGCAAAAAGAAAAGTATATATGTTCCAAGAAAGCCAACTCACAGTATAAAGTGTTGTTTTTTTTTTAAAGCCAAGGACTGTAATTTTGGTTCAGGAACTGCAAATGACAACTGGAAAATTCTGAAATACACAGCATTGGAGGTAAAGAGAGTTTGTGTCGTTACAGAAATTACAATGGTTATGCAACTTTTAACTTAAAGTAACAAAAAGAAAAATCATGCGCTCTCCAGTTCAAGCCAACTCCTGTGTGTCCGAGAACTGTGCTTCATCGCCCCTTACATGGCCGCTTGTTCCCGAGCAGATTGCCTGTCTGTTTGGGTTCTTTCTCCAGAACATCTCTGAATGGAACCTAACAAGCAAGCTTCCAGCTAGCAGGCAGATACATGAACCACACACCCCACTCTAAACAAAACCAAGGAACAAACTAAAGACAAAACAAATGCAGGTGGTTACTCTCTTGTGACCCCATGTGTGATAAGGTACAACTACTCCACAGGCATTTCTGAGTTCTGATCTTTGTGGAAGCCTGTTTCTAGGCCTTTCTTTCAGGGTACCACTGGATAAGTTCAAAGATTTAAATTAGCACAGGGATAAAATAAGATGCCCGAAACAAACCTCACTGTCAACACGTTGATTTTGACTCATAGCTCCCACATACAAGGTTTCTGAGATTGTAGTCTTAAAGGAAGCAAGCAGCCTCATCTTCCTCCCACATAAGAGCAGGTAGTGAGTTTGAAGTGCCAGCCTTGTGGGATAACAAAGCAACGCCCATCCCACAGTGCTACCATTGCTACAAATTCAGCGGTTCTCAACCTGTGGGTCACGACCCCTTTGGGGGTTGAACAACCCTTTCATAGGGGTCGCCCAATTCATCACAGTAGCAAAATTATAGATATGAAGTAGCATCAAAAATAATTTTATGATTGGGGGGTCACCACAACATGAAGAACAATAATCAAGGATGGTGGAACTAGGAAGTTTAAGAACCACTGTACTAAATGAATGAAAAGAAATACCTGACACAATCACTTTCTGATTTAAATTAGTTTACAATATTTCTCCACTTTGCACACATTTTCCCCTCAGTAGATATTTGCTTGGATCAAAATGTAAAGGCACAGTTAAAATTGAGACCTTATTAAGACAAAGGATAATCCTGCTGAATATGACTGTCTATATCAAATAATGAACATTTTAAGGGTGAAAGAGAATTCAACTCTAAACCAGGCCAAGGCTGATGTATACAAGGCAGAAGTCAGACATGCCTCCACTCTCTTTCCTTACCCAATCTGTCATCAACCATTCCTCTCACAACACTCCATTTCTCTATTGGGTTCAAAAATTCATTGCAATAGTCATATCGAAATCCACGGACAATAATCACAATTAACGAGGTTGGTTAGTAGCCAACTGTTTGATAAGAGGGGACTTCACATATCTATTAAAAAAAGGGAGGGTGAATTATAAGATAAAAATAGAAATTTTATTTCTTTGTACATGCTAATCCCATTAAAGTCAAACGACTGCATAAATTATACTAGTCATTTAGTCCATCTCTGAAGAACTGAGCATCTTGGAAATTTGACTATTTTTAAATATGTTTTATAACTAAAGAAGCATAAGTGTGCTTTAAATAGTTTTATAAGATTAGAAAGCAGTAAAAAGCCAGAAGAAGACAAATCAGCAATGCAATGTGGGTGCCTAATGATTTCCCATGGAAACGCTCACATAATTGCCCTTTTGCAAAGAATGAGCAAGAGTCTTGGTAGAGAGGGACGTTCTGGAAAAATTTTCCCAAAGCATTTTTAAGGGGAAAGCTATGGAAATAACTTTCTCAAAATACTCTCATAACACAGCTATGGTATTGTTCTTTGACCTTCAAGAAATTCAAGAAGCAAATTCTGAGCATCCCAAAAATCTACGGTCATGGCTTTTGTTCTTGTCCCATCTACTTTTGCTTTGACTGGATCATTTCCACTTCTTGGTAATTATTATCTTGATGTTGCTTTGTCTTCTGTATGGTACTGATAAAGCCATGTTTCATATCTTGTTACCATTGTTCCAAGAAATACTTCAGATCTTGCCATATGTTAAAGTTTCTACCAAAAGCCTTGCTTTTGTCAGTAGCTGATGAAGGTGCAAAAATTTTGTCCACACATCAAGCAGAATGTTCAATTTGAGTGTGTCAGTCTAATTGTATAAATTGAACCAGTGGAGATGTTTCTAGTGTTGGCTTATTTTTTTCCCCACTGCTTATTAACGGCCCTCTTCTATTAGAGCACACATGAGATTAGTTTTTCTCACACTAATTGATGGTTTGTGGGTGTTGACTTACTGTTCAACATTTCTTCTCTTCTCCAAGTGGTTCTGCATTTGAAAACTGCCTTAGGGCATTGCCATACATAAACTTTTCTTAAAGCATCAATGAGTTTGCCATTTTCTCATACAAGCTTTGCCATGAATTTGATATTTGCTCTTGTTTCAATTTTAGAAGAATTCATGCTGCTCTGAAAGAGCCTCAAACTAGATTCTGTTCAGATAAGTCAAAATGAGCTAGAATGAGCTAATTGGTTCACTTTTTAAACCATGCATAATTTTTTCATAATATTTATTTCCATGAACTTTTTGACGAAACTTCATATATTTCTAGATTTTAACAATTT